AAAAAATAAATAATTAATTTGAAAGTAAAAAAAAAAAACGAAAATGATATTATTGCGTGGGCTAGCAAGTTTTTGACACCGCCATCTTTCGCGATTTTTCAAATTTTTTTGGCTCTGTCAAATGACATGAAATTTTACACATATGTATCTTATATAATAGACAACCTACAAATAAAGTTAGAAAAAAAGAATATTTTTTTTCAGGTCCCGAAATAAAGGGAAAACAAAAAGTGAAAAGAGAAAACAAACAAAGTTGTAATTCGGAAAGCAAGTTTTGAGACCACCATCTTTGCCGATTTTTCTTTTTTTTTCAGGCCCCGCAGATTGACTTCCAAATTGAGAGAAACGTACCTTACATAACAGAGAACTCAGAAAAATAAAAATCCAGAATAAATAAAATATTGAGAAAGATAGCTTCCAAATTGACTTCCAAAAAACAATGTTGAGAAAGGTAGCTTCCAAATTGAGATCTCAGAGAAAGGTTGCTTCCAAATTGCTTCGAAATATGTATATATATATATATATATATATTGTGTTTGGACGCACATCGTGATCCGTGGTACTGTGCTTTCGCGTGTGCAGGTGCGTCTGCCCTTCCGCATCCATAGAGCAGGGGCATCAACATGGACCGCGAACAACCTCATGCAACTCTGTCGCCGTCACCGAAATCCCTGTTGCTTCCTACTCCTATCTCTTAATCTCCATCCGCCTCACTCGCTCTTTCTTCTTTACAAGGCTCTCCGGTGTACCATGATATTTCACGCGGTCGAGGGAGAGGTCTTTTGGATCCACGCGGACGCAATCGAACGGATTGTATATTGGAGAGATCTGCAACCAGGCAACGTTTGGATGACAGAATGGCCGTTCTGTCGTTCCCTCCTTTGCTGAATTCGACAAATGTCACACAAACTCCTCTCCTAAGTCACATGCGTGCAGCCATTGCTGCAATCCCGGCTCTCCCCACTTTCGTTGGCGATCCCTCAATGTCTTCGTTTGCGCAATCCGCTCTGCTTCCTTCGCGTCCTCCATTTTCTTCGCCCATGGGCTCTCTCGCAGCGATGTTGCCGACGCCTTGGTCCGGAAGTCAGAGCATGTGCGGTGTTCAACAAAGTCGTTCAGACGCCGCGCATCCATTTGGTTTGCCGCGGGCGTTCCCGTGTTCGGGCCATGACAACTCCRGCGCGRTTCCCGTTGCRGGTGTCTTTGCGTCGGATCCTGTTTGTCGAACARAAGAGAYACGTTCASCGATYGAAKCARTGCAACCGACATCATGCACTCCAGTTTCCAGCAACCGTGCACGCGATGTTCTTTCCCCGGCTGATGATAGCGAGGCTGGGATGAGTTTCTCGCCTCGATCGCCCCGTACGAGGTCCAGTACACCTCGTGAAGGCAAGCCTCACTGGGTGCGATGTAGACTTGATCAAAAAAGTCGCCTGGGTGAGATTGCGAAGGCGGTGGGGAAGAAGTTGTCGACTCGCACTCGAGGCTCCAAAGATAAGAAGAAAAATCATTGTTCGTACGAGGACGTGTTCGATCAGCTCATGAAGTGGAGTTCCGTTCACATTGATGAGCTGATGTCAAAGTATGGGCCCGGTGAACAATCGTCTGGCCATGGGGGTTCATGCGGACAAGGATCCGACGCAACGGCGACACCAAAGTCGCGAGGTGGCAGACCTCGCAGGGACGCATTGAAATGGCGCGACGACAAGTCGGGATATTTGGATAATGGTCCGATGTTTGAACGATGGAGCGTGAGGGACCAAATGGCCATGTGGGATGCTAAAGCAAGACCTGATGTCGTTTTCATTGAGCCGGTCAAACTTCTTCAGATTCTCGGGATGTTCGAGCAAACGTGTCCTCGACACGAGAAAGACGTTGAGGTGACGATTAAGAAGATCCATTATCTATGTCACATTTGCAAGTTGCAATTCGAGTGCGGGAAAGGGTGCACATGGCACTGGAGTTCCGCGAAGGTTGTTTCACCGGGCGGGGTGAGAAATTCGAGGGTTGAGACTCAATTGTTCCACTCCACTTTGACTGCGGGAATGACTTACACTCAATTGAATAACCTCCTGCGGTGCTTAGGGATGAGAAAGGTCAGAAAAGAAACTTTCTATAATTTTTTTCGTGATGACGGCCCAGGTTTCCGACAATGGTTGCGACACGTCGAACGGGTTACTAAAAAGAGCTTCGACAAGGTAATCGCGCGATTGTGTAGGTCGAACGATCCAGTCGTCGTTTTGGTTGATGGGCGTTACGATTCGTCTCGTGATGCTCAGCATTGTACGGTGACGGCGGTGGATTTGAAGTCAGGAATGATCGTGGGGACGGAGACCATGCTCCGGGGGAATGAGTCGTCATGGAAGCTGGAGACGCAGTGTGTTGAGAAACTGCTATATCGGTTGAAGGACGAGAAAAACCTCATAATCGTAGAGGTTGTGCATGATGATTGTGGCGCGGTTGACGTCATATTGCGGCGAATGAACATTGACTCACAAAAGTGTATGTGGCATAAGGCGAAGACTTTGGTGAAACGCTTGCGAGAGGCTGTGCGCGGCACGAAGACTGTCAAACCAGCTGCAGTCGGGGCTTGCGAGCATGTGCGAGAGGTGAAGTGTTTCACAAAGAAGGAACTCGAACTTTGGCTCGAATCGAAATGTGTACACGAGGCCGGGGTATCCACGAGAAAAAAGAATGAACTCGTTGAGACTGTTTGGGGCGTGCTCTTCCCTGACGAAGCAGGGAAAGCATTGCCAGATGATGTCGTCGAGATCGACGCGTTGCAAACACTGCATTCCAATGCGGCGGAGGAGGCGAAGGAGTGGTTGTACGGCGCTTGCAGGCTACGCGAGCTCGCAAAGGATGACGATGGTGATGTGTTGGCCACGCATGTGCAACACCTTGCCGATCATTGGGCCGGGGATCACTCCTGTTGCGATAAGGAGTTGTCCAACCTGTGCAAAGCGGCTGGGGGTCCGGACAGGGATCCATTGTACGAGGCGGGGGGGCGTGTTCATTTTGCCGTCGCGCGCTGTCTTCAACAGTTCGCTTCGAATACGAAGATGGCGTACTACACACGTGCGAGGATGACCTTCAACAACGAGTGCTTCCACTCCGTGATCAACAACTACGCAACGAAACGCTTGAACTTCCCCAAGTCGTATGAGGCGCGCGTGTGTTGCACAGCTTTGGAGTGGAACAAAAACAAACGAATCAGGCGATTGCGAACGGTCTTCCGCAAACCAACAAACATAACCCATCAACGTCGTTCCGCACAACAACATATATACACCGCACGGGATACGTCATGACGCTTCGACATTGCAACTGCAGTTTTTGGCAGCCCTCGGGTCGGAGATTGGGCACATAACATGTTGCAGCAATCGGACGTCGACGGCCCAGTTATTGAGCATTATGATGAGGAAGCCAATTATGGACTCCCTGATGCCGTTGAGAGTGCGGTGGAGGGTGTTGTGGCCGAAGGTGACGATGTTTACGTTGAGGCGGGAAGCGAAAGTGCTTTAGATGATGAAAAGTCATCTTCCGACTCTGACACCGATGGTGCCGCTCACCGCCTCGACTTTGACGGCGTCGTTCTTTCGCACGAGGTGTCCGTTGCGCAGGAGTGATAGTGTCACGTACTACATCAATGCCCATTGTCGTCGTCATAATCATTAGAATGTTATGTCCTCGATTTGAACTGGTTGTGAGAACAGGTTGTGAAAACTGGTTGTAATTTTCAACTGGTTGTTCGAACTGGTTGTTCGAACTGGTTGTTCGAACTGGTTGTAATTTTGAACTTTGTGAGAAATGGTTAGAATTTTTGAACTGGTTGTGAGAGATGCTTTTCATGTATACTAATTGTATATATGTTTTGTGTACACTTAGTGATAACCGGTTCTGAATATATATATATATATATATA